TAGGGAATTCGGACTTTAATTGACGAAAAGGAATGAAGTAAAAAAAAAAAGAAGAAAAAAAATGAACGAGGATATGAGAGGTTGATTTTATATAGTTGCGGCAAGACTATCGATCATCGCTCGGCTCACTTCGCGCCTGCCTCGATAATTTATTCATCAATTATCGGAGCTGCTGCTCCTTTCTCTCTCTCTCTCTTCTCGGTCGGCTCTCGATACACGGAACGCGCGCTATGACGTTAATTAAAAAATTATTGCTTGTGTCATATATACGCACACAAACTACTGCGACCCGTGCTACTGCTATACCGCTACGTAGGCGCGCGTTTTAGATGAAAATCGATTTTTCATTGGTCCTTTTTGGCTGCAGTGTTGCGAGGATTGATTATGTTACTGGCGATACACGTAAAATTGAAAAATCAAGTGTCGAAGAGCGCAATTTCATCAATCATTCTTTAATTTTATTCGTCGCTACAGGGTTCAGATTCCAAAGACGAAATAGTTGACCGAAATTTAACGGAATCACGTTTTCACGTTTTGCGGATAGTTTGCTTGTGCCCGCGCGATGCAATGCGCGCCAGTGAGAGTTTCTTCGCTTGCTTACAACTTTGCATCATGTACGCGCCCACAAAGACCAGCAGCAGCAGCAGCAGCTCGTCCTCGTCGTCGTCGTCGTCACTGTCGTCTCTCTCTCTCTCTCTCTTTGGGAGTACACGCGGCCAGGCTGCAGGGGCGCACGTTAAGAACTCGAAGGTGCACGAGCGCACAAAGTTCACGACAAACTCGACCCTGTAGCTTCGAGCTTTTGTGCACTGTGTGCGTGCGAGTGTAGTAACTTTAAATTGTGAATAAGTTACAAAGTTCGAATTCAATAAGGTATCCTCTCTCCGTCTCTCGCCATCGATGAGACATGCCGCGAGCGCGCGTGCGTATGCGAGCTTTTTCATGCGTTAACTTAAATCGGTTAATGGATAACGCGCACATATACACATACACACTTACGCTGCTTATCTGTGCCATGTAAATGCGATTTTGTTACTTCATCTTCTGTGTACTTTTTTTTCGCGAACAAACACAGCCGGTTAAACAATTCATTTGCTCTGCTGTTGTCTTTTGTCAAAGCATATTTCGAAGGCTGCAGTGTGTTTCGACGTAACGTGTAGCCCAAGACAAAGGACACACTCGAAGGTCGCTAGGAAGAGCTTTTGCCGCGCGCAGTATATAGACCCCTTTTGTTTCTCTGCCAGTTGTAGAGATTGAGGCGGAAGCATAGCGCAAGCATTGTTAAGAATTAATTCGGTTTTTTTCGCTCTCTCCCTCACTCTGACGTTGACATTTTTTTTTAAATTTCAGTTTCGGTATGTTTCAAATTTTGAAAATATATTTTATCGACCATTTATGAAATGTCGATTAATCAAGTTTTGAGGAAATGTTTTGTTTCCTATATGTATCCTTACAACGATACTATTGCTCACTTCGAGCCAATAGATACTGGTCTGCCGCAGGAAAGTGAAAGCGGTCACGATTACGACTTCGATGGCTTACGGACGTGTGTCGATAGCCAAATTTGGTCGCTGTAGAATTACAGTTTTGTAAGCCAGGGTAGATCGCTGAGAAAATAAAACACGACAATTTTTGCAGAATTGAAAAAGTGCAAAAAACAAAAGCAAAAGGAATTTCAAACGTTCCAAAGCAAGAATTTCAAGGTAAAAAGTGGACAATAATAGCCGCACATCACGCACACGAACACACACGCGCTTACGCACGCGCAGACCCCGAAGCCGTATTATACGGCTCGGCAATCATTCGCGCGGAGTTAAAAGGGATTTTTGAGGGATATTGCCGTTGTATTCACACGTCCAATCGCATAACTTCTCGTTCCATTTGATCTAGCCTTCTTCTCCTCTCGCCCACCGCCGCTGCCATCGATGTTCACGTGTCAAGCGCGCGTTGCAACGCGGACAAGGTCCATATTTTTCATTAAAATTCAATAAAAAATGCCAAAAAATAAACGCTGTGCACGCATATCGTCCGACGAATCTATGAGTATATACGCACACTGACGACCTCGAAGGATAAATATATATATTTGGTTATGTTCTTCTGTACCGAGTATGGCTTCGCGCTATCCATTATACGAATCGACCATCGTGCCGCACATCACAACTTTATGGGTCATGAATTTTTTTTCCTCTTTCTTCGCAACATTTTATCGGACGGCGGTGGATTTAAAACTGAAATGCCGTTACAATTTGAAAAATATTGTACATTACTCGTTGCCAAGCGCAACGGATGCGCGCGAGGCTCGTGCAAGCCACCAAGCGAAAGCTCTCGCAAGCTTTCAATATTCCGATGGGTGAGTGCGTGCGTATTGTCAAGGATTAAATGTTATGACGTTATATATTTTCCTGAAATAAAATAAAATAAAAATATCTTTTACGGATCGCATGTTGATTATTCTGTTATATATCGAGGACGTTTGGATAATTGTTGCTAATCACGTTGAGATCTCATTGAATTTGATCTTTCAAGGCATTACCGGGAACAAGAAAGATCTTTTATCAATTGAGTTGGCTAATCATGCGTGTGGTTTCGAACATTTTTTTCCACTTACTTTGCGGATATAATTACTCCAGGAAAAATTTTATAATCATACTAAAATTAAAAAAAATTTTAATACGTTTTTTTGTGTTCATGTGAATTTTTTTCTGACGTCTACACACGAGGAAATCAATTATATTTATCCGGTTGGCTATCGCGCTTCGATATTATTGGGAAATTTATCTTTACCTCCTATGCAAGCTTATTTACGCTGATACGCGTATGTACCGCTGGAAGAATTTCTACAAAATGGCCAAACACGCGAAGCTAACTCATAATTTTTTCGCTCGCGCGTTTATTAATACTTCGCGTTTGGATATTTGATAGAAAATATTTTTGTTTATTTAGGCAGATTACCGCCTAGGGAAATATGCTGTTACGCTTGTTCTTCTTTTTTATTTTCAGTATACGCGTACTTGAATGCTCAAAAAAAAGGAAAAAAAAAATAGTAGGTCAGTTTATTGGATGAAAAGCGCTACTGCAGGCCGTAGCTATCTGAATTTTTAGAGTAAATCTTGTAACAACGTTCGGTTATATTCGCGTTTATTGGAAGTTATAGATCGTGCGGTTCACCTCAAAAATGACTCTGATGCAGCGTCATAATGGAGTCAGCTTTTGCCTGCGCGTCCTGCGGTACAGCAGCATCGAAAAGCATTGCCGTATAGCCATAACCGACATTAGTTCGTTAGATATGATCGTTAGATACGAGTTGTATTGCCTGTACGTCACGCCGATGTGTCCAGAGCCATTCTGGCTTTTTGGATGCGGGCGTTCCACGGGTGCGACTAGTGGTGCTATAGTAGTAGTGGTAGTAGTAGTGCTCCGGGAGCGCAGTGTTTCGATTGTCCTGAGAATTTACGAGTCACGGACGCTCTTCATGCCTTTTGATAACCACGGACATGTTTATGAATATGAGTTAGTATCGCGTTACTCCCGCGAGCTCTAGATCGTGATATTCTCTCGATTAAGGATGCCAACCGATCATCCACAATGACAGTCATCCGAGCTGTTGGTTCATAATCACGCGACGGATACAATTATTTGTTGAAACTTTAAAAGGACGACGGCTCGGCGAATGAATGTTTTCATTCACTGTGACACAGAATTAGAGAAAACGTTTACGAGAACAATGTAATGATCACGGGTATCGCGCGGGAAAAGCGAGAGGCAGGTAACGCAAAGACAATCAACGCTGGGCAATAAGTTAACAGCTACGAGTTTATTTCCAGAGCCGTAAGAGGTGTGGTGCCGTTTTACGACAATTTTCACAACATTCGCGCGCGCAACGGCCTCGACGCGCGGACGAATTAAACGCGAAACCTCTCCATTCTCTCATTGGACGAAAACAAAAGGGATGAAAAAAAAGGAAAAATCGTCCCGAGCATTTACCGCGAATAATTGCACGCGAAGCATCAGTTTCTATATATACATCGTATGAGCTTGCCAGCCATGTGGTTTTTACTTTGGCGCGTGTATATAATATGAAAGTAAAAAAAAAATCATGCCGTTGGCTCGAATCTCGTAAAAATAAATCGTTGCCTTGTTACACGGACTTACTGCTGCTGCTGTACGGTGTAGTGGTAGGTGTACGAACCATGTATGTGCGCGCTCTCGAGCGCATTACGCGGCAGTTGTTGTCGGGCCAAAAGCCTCGACGGCGGCCGCGCTTATAACCGCTCGGATGTATAAAGCGCTTACTTTGCTTCGCGGATATAGCTTTCCCATCCTCCTCCCGTAAATATATACGAGCATTTGCTATTCAGTTCTGTCGTTTATGATTTACGAACTAACGACTAAAAATTCTCTCTCTCGATGAAAAAAAAAAAGAAAAAAAATCAGAGCAAATAATAGACCACGTCATAAATCTTGGCCCTGCGCGCGAGATTGAGAGAGAGAAAAAAGCCCTGCAGAAAATAACAAGAGAGAGAGAGAGAGAAAGAGAAAGCTGAGTTGAGCCGCGCGATAAAAATCGATGCAGTGATAAGGGAGTGGACGAGCACATAAAAACGGGCAAAAGGGAGTTATAAACGTAACGCGATGCAGCCGGTGTAAAAAAAAAGGAAAGGAAAAAAAACCAACGTGACACCTGATTCAGGGGATAAGGTGCGGCTCAAGGTAAGATTTATGACTAAATCTCACCTGGACACGTTTACTTAATTTTGTCGCGCGAATAAATTCGAACGAAAGGCTCGAGGTGTGCTCAGCGTGTCGGAGCTGTTGTACTTTGGACTCGTCACTATGTCAACATTTATTATCCATATCGTATACCGGGCTATAGCGAGAATCGCGCACGGCGCAGCCGACGACGAGAATGATTAAGACATGACATTTAACGAGCGAGCTGTAAGGCTACGCCACATGAGAAAAACAAACATCGAAGTTTTTCTTTTTAACATACTGACCTTGTCTCTGATCTCCTGGCGCATCTTTTCTCGCTCTTCCTCCATCTTTCGGTGCTTCTCCTTTCGCCGCTCCTCGGCTTCTCGGATGGCCTCCTGCCTCTCCCTCTCTGCCTCTTCTTCCTTCTCCTTGTCATCTTCGTCACCGCCTTCGCCGCCTACCGCCCCTAAGTTTAACAGAAACAAAGCACATGGACATAGCTATTAGCACCTTCTTCTGTTTTTTTCATCTGCAAGTTCAAATACATATTTAATTATATTGTCATCGGAGACAGACGCGTCTCTCTTCGCAACGTCTTGAGAGCTCTACAAATTCTCAACCGCGCGTTATATCTGTACGAGTGTTTTTCGTTATATGTTTGTACTTGAATGTGTATTACGTAAGTTTTTTATATACATATCAAGAGGCTACTTTACTTTTGGCACAACTGACAGAGTGACATTGGTCTAGGCCATGCGCGCCCGAGCTCGAGGTTAAGAGTCAAGGATAAGGTCTCCTTTTTTTTGTCGAGAGCAATGCAAGATGAATGGCTTTGTTTGTATTTGTCGGGCTCGCGTGGAAGCCCGATCGATATACATTATAAGCTTCGCGCGATATGTATATCCGCGTTTTAGCACCTATGTGCACGCGATATATATTGCAGTCCCGTGTGTGCTGTATACATACAGTGGCAGCTAACTCGGTTCGTTTCGTCGATTTGATCCGCGCTCGAAAAATCGTCGACACACGCGGTAGAAAACAAATAAATCAGTAGTACGAGTCGGTGTTCAGTCAGACGTAAACATACTGCTATACGATGCCGAACGATGAATTAAACGAAATTGGCGCACTTTTCAAGAGTCGCTTAAAACTTAATGACGAAAAACCTTAAGATTTCTTTTGTCAACTAATCGACGTGCGGCGGTCTTGTAAAGTAATCCACGTCTTTAATTTGTCCCGAAGCGAACATTCCTCTTCAGTGGCTAGTCTTTTCCTCTTTTGCTCGTATATCCTCCTCTTTCATTCTTCGACGGTTCGAGTTCTCTCTTTGCGCTTCAAGTTTTGCTCGATCGCGCAAAAGGCATTCGGAGAGAGCTTCATAATAGACATTTGCCCGCAGGGGACATACTCTAGTAATGATCTTTCTTGGGGAGAGCGCACATAGCCTCCTTCTCTTCCTCTTCGTCCCGTCCTCTTTTTCTCCAACAAGTCCAGTTGAGAACGTGAGAAATTCCGCCAAGTCCGCTCGATTTTTCGTTTTCCAGCCGTATAACGCTCAGCCCCCGAGTAATAAAGGGTGAGAGATGTCTGGGATAGTACACCTCTCGTGCGGGGGGCAAAGAGAAGGAGGAAACGGAAAGGCGGAAGTGTATTAATGGCCTTTTGAGAAATTATAGGGAAGTTGCACCCGAGACTTTTCCGAGAGAGAGAGAGGGAGATTTTTCGGTGCACGTTCGAAGAAAATAAAAAAGGAAAGAGAAGGAGGAAAGAAAACGCAGCTAAACGAGCGACTTTTGATTTACACCCGACAAGCCGAAAACACGAAAAACAATGTAAGAATAATTTGAGGGCAATTTTCAGAAAAATCTCGCGCCATAGCTCAAAAGTTGATAATTTGAGTTGGATGCGTCGGTCGTTCGGAAGTTCTTTGGACTTATTTCGAGGAGTCAGGCTCTGTTTAAAACTTTGGGGATTTCAGTTTCTCTTAGCCTCTCTTTGGCTAGTCACGCGGAATTAGCCACGGCAGCAGATCCAGCCCTGCATTTATCCCCGAGGGCAATCGGTGCGTCGGAGATTTCTCTCTCTTTCTTTTTTGCTCTCAAATGTGTGTAGCAGCTAATCGTTGAGTGGCGGCGGCGGCGGCATACACGAGATGAGAGAAGTAGTCCGGAGGGAAGAACTTTTGATCGGCAACATTCGACGTGGTTTATGGCACACGACGTACTGTAACTCGCACATCGCACGTAATCTGTTTGCTGCGCAAAAAAGCTCTAGATTTTGCATTTCGAGTTCAAGAAGAGAGAGAGAGAGAGAGAGAGAGAGAGCGAGAGAGAGGGTTTTCGACTGAAAGCGCGGTGCAGTGTCAAAAGGGGCCAATAGCATATTTTGATACACGAGCGAGCAATTTACTCAAAGCCAGCTAGAGCCAGAGCACGTAGTGCATACAGTGTGTGATATTCGAGGCTCGAGTGAACGTCGATTATGTCGATACGTATAACAGCGCTCGTTACAGCAGCTCCTATCGTTCTGTATAATACGTTGGAGAGCAGCTTTACAGCGTGGCGCAATTGGAAATTGCTCCTCGCCTCACCTGTCGAGTGCATCGCTGCTTATGCTTACATCGTCTACGCATACAGCTTAGTACACGCTGTTGCGGGCTCGAAACACAGATGCGTCTGCGAACGTATATCGCCCTCTCGATCGGATCAATTAGTGCGAGTCTTCGCTTGGTTAAGTGCGTAACGAAGCCGATATTGTGGCGCATCGATACTCCCCCTGCTCTACGCCGCTTTCGCAGTACTTCGCAATTGCAATAAGCAAGTACGTGACGAGCTTTTGCTTTTTACGCGCCGATAAGCAGTTTATACATATTTCGCTCGTAATTCCAACTTGCGCGAAAGGCGATGCTCGCGAAGCAACTTTTACTCCATCTCTGGCGTTTTTCTCGCGACTAAACGAGCAAAATTTTATAATATCATAACGACAAAGCCGCGGGAGATGTAAAAGTGGAATTGAAAAGAAATAGCCGATGTCGTGCCGGCCATTTACAGTAGCCTCGAGTCGTGGCGTGCTTTTACCACTTGCCGACGATCCGCTCTGGCATCGAGCAACATTGAGCAACATCGCCGCAGTGCAATAGATGCAGCTCTCGTCTCTCGGCTCTTTCTCTCTCTCTCTCTCTCTTTCTCCTGCACGTGTTTTCCCGCGAGGCTTCGCCGACCAAGTCCTCTCTCATAGTTAGCTATATGCAGACTGCTCGGGCTTAACCAAGTTTTATTAGTTTCCTGCAAGATTAACTTGCCACTGATGGCTCTTCCACCTCCCGCAGCCGATGGCTATACCATAGCTCTGAGCTCTTTCTCCCTGTTGATATCACTGCTGTTGGTGCTGCTGCTACTACTACTGCTACCGCTGAGACATTGATATATCTTCGATTTAAATGTATTTAATAATTAAGCCTGCAGACCCTGTTGCTCGCTGCTTCAGTGAGGATCTTGTTACGAGGCTCATATTGGAAAAAAGAGGCAAGTTGCAACGAGTCGTTAACGACGTTACAACGTATATTTTTCTCTTATTTTTTTCTCTCTCCCTGCGACGTGAATATGCAATTTAGCATTTCCGTGCGCGCTGCTGCTCGAGAAAATCGAACCCACTCAGCGCGCGAACGTCATTCGTTTCCCTACCCGTGCGGAAATCTCGCGACATGCGGCGAGCGTGCGACGATGAAAATAGAAAAATCGTCTATAAACGACAGACAAAGGCGTGGCCTGGACACCTGTGGCTCGCTCCACCGTTTTTAATTGAATCGAGCTAAAAATATTGAAAAATAAGAAAGATCGGAGAATATATACGGCCCAATCATGGAAGTCTCGAGTGCTCGATACAATGCACGCGAGAGGCGAGAAGCCTTAATTCGAAAATATTTTGTTAGCACTCGCGCCGTTCAGTGCGCAATGTATAGGCACAACACGAGAAAACTTAACGAACCGAATCAACTTCACGTCTCGGTGCATTTTGAGAAAACTTGAGCCCGTTTCGATCGATAGAGTTACTCTTCAATCCGTACATTCAAGGCTGAATGCCAGGACAGCTCCTATTCTGCAGCAGCAGCCCTGACAGAGTTTTATTCAATATTCAGCCGTACCTTATATATTCTATGTTATCTTCAATTCTCAAAGTTATTTTCTTTGTTATAATTCTGGCTTTAGATAAATTTCAATAAACGTACTTGATAGGCGCATCGATGGTTCATAATGGAAAATATCTCTTTGCTTGAAAAATCTATTTATCATGAAATTCGAGTAACTAACGCTCGTAATTGAAAAAGAATATAGTTAATATCTGCATCAGCGAAGCACCTGAGAATTATGCACCGGATGAATTTAATTCGGTCAAATTCAGTCGAGGATTTATTTTTAAAATCTTTTTTTCCTACCGCACAGCTAGCTCTTCTGCATTATTTATTGCGAAAAACAGCGCGTTGCTGCTCGCAATGTTCGCAACACGCAGATTTATATTATTTTTATTCACTTTCGTTGCTGCATATTACACCTTTTTCGGGACTGAAACGGTATAAACTCTAAAATATTTTAGCTTTAAAAAATCCTTTTTCTGAAAGCCCCCGAGCCCTTAAATTACAAATTCATAAAAATGCGTGCACACATGCGAGCAATAGAGCAAAGAGAGAGAGAGAGAGAGGGAGAGAAAAAGAGATTAAAAGAGCCGCAAACCGAGTGTTGTTAGTGTGCTCAGGCGCGCGCGTGTGTGTTAGCACGCCAGTCGTAACAGAATCAATTTATCACCCGACTCCATTTTGCGAAATTAAAATTTCACGATGACGGTTTTGAGTTGAAAACCTTTAATTAAGCGGTGCCCGCACAAAAGAGTACAGAGTGAGAGGAAGAGAGAGCCGTAGAGCAAAAAACAGGATCGGTTTTTGTGTGTTTACTCATGGGAGACTGCGCGGCCAGTGAAAAGAGTCGAATACGCTTCATCGTGCTCGTCATGCGCATTCAGTTTTCAGCTAATAGATCGTTGTGCCGTTGACGGGCTACTTAATGAGGCTATGCTACAGTAGTATCGGACAATCAAACATTCGTGATTTCTAATTAAAAAGCCTCAAGACCAATGAATAAAGCTCATTCGAACGAGCGATTTATCCTTGTGTGTGTCCAGAAGTCAAAGAAATCAACTAGGAAAGTTGTGGGAGTTCAGCAGAAACTGAAAAATAACGTCTAATCGAATTCATAGTCTGAAACGTTTATTACGGATCTTCGCTTGAACATCATCTCTATATTCCTTTTGAATCAAAGTTCAAACAACTTCTTATTCGGTTTAATAAACGCGCGGTAAAATATTAAATCAAATCTGTCTGTCTTTGTGCGTATATGTTTTTCATCGAAAAGGGCGAGACGAGCTCAATAGGCCAGCTCAGAGAGAGAGAGAGAGAGAGAGAGAGAGAGAGGA